GCAAATAAACAATAGTTTAATTCATTTGTTGTTTTACATAAAATCTAGTTTAAAATACAGAAAACCTATTTCGTTCAAAAATTATGTTAATTTATTGTATTTTGAAAAAACAGTTAAAAAAATATTATGTTAATAATGATTTGTTTTTTCGTCAATGTCATTATTAATGCATAATTTTCTTTAAGAAATGGTTTGTTAAATTTTTCATTAAAAAAATTCAATATTTTCATTTAATTAATTTGACGTTTGTCAATGCAAATCAAATGGCAAATTAATTCGAATTAGTTTAATTCCAGTTTCTCCATTAAATCTAGCATTATGTTTCTTTGAATGTAATGTTGGTTATCAGGTTCGTTATTACATATTTTTATTGTAATTTTGATGAGGGAGGTAAAATTTTTACCTCTCTGTGTGGTACTTGACCACTTTCCTTTTTGAAGTTAGCGTGGCAAAACTTATTTTCTGTTAGAGTCGTAGGAAAATAACTTAATTTAATGGAGAATATAATTAAAAAAAAAAGATAACGGAAGTCAACTTGTGATTCATTTAGAAAAATTGGGCTTTTTCGCAGGATCAAAGGGCTCAAAACATGAACTACTATTACAACATGCCTCAGAATAACAGTTGGCACACTGAAACGGCCGTCAGATTTAATTCAGAAATGCACGGACATTACGACATGGCTCCTCCATACGAAACGAGGAGACATCCAAGTATATCATACGCCTCTAGGAGTGAAATAACACCTATTGCTCAACATGATAATCCATATGGAATGGACGGAGGCGATATGTTGATAGATGCACGGCCTCCAGAACGAAGCAATATTGTTGATTTGCAAGGATCAAGAGAACAAAGAGGATCGGCATTCGAATTGTACAGGAAACCTGTACATCATAATTTAAGGTAAGAAAGGATTACTCTTATTTTATTTTGTAAAGTTTGTAAAATAAGTGTGTACACTGGTTTGAAATTGATTTAATGTAGGGTTTTCTGGTTTGTTTCGGTCGTGGTTTGGGTTGCATGTTTTGCATGGAGACGATAAAATGTAAAAATGCGATACGATTCTCTGTACATTTCGGTTATTAATTTTGGGGAGACTAAATTGTGAGAATTATAAGTTTTTGTTAATAGTACATAATTTTGTACAGAAAATGTATAAACAGCTTTGAGCATATTAGTTTTATTTACTTTCATTTATTTGTTAATTGAAAACAAATTGTAAATAACAGTAACAAAACTAATAATAATAATTGAAGTTCTATTTTAAAACGTTTCCCTTAATTTTCTATATTCACTGCTTTCCGATATTTACGCAATACAATTTTACAAAAGAAGAGAATGCAAAATAAAAATTCAAACATTAGTTGCTTGAAGCTTTCATCGTTGTGTTTTCTTCTACTTCTTTCTTATAAATGGCTTTATAATTATTTTCAAATTACTACTACCTACCATTTCACTAAAAAAACCTATAGTTTTGAACGATTTTTGTCAAAATGTTCGATTTTACTTAAAGTTACATTCGTTACACTCGGTGAAATAATTCACTCACTCCTAGAATAAATAACTATTTTGTATAAATCAAAGTGTTCTCGTCGTATTGCTTGAAGCTTGTGTTTATTTTAATTCTACTAAAATTATAATTTTAGGGTTACAAATACATTTTAAAAACAGCCTAAAAAATATCGTATAAGTACTTTGTTGAAGGAGTTAACAATAATTTGTCGGAACTCCAAAACATCTTTAACATAAAAAACAATTAATCATTTTTGCCTTTTGTTACTTTTCTTCAAGTTTGATTCATTTTACAGTAATGTTCAAAAAATTTGAGACAAGAGGGGGCTGGAACAGTTTATATTATGACAGCCATTATCCACGAAGATAATGTTTAAGCCCACGAGCCGTAGGCAAGTAGCGCAAATCTACGAAGTGTATACTCGGAAATGTGATATTACGTATACTTCTTCTATATACACCTATTAAAGAAAACTTGTCGATAATATCTTATGCAAAATTTCATTAAACATTAATTTATCTTCTCTTTTAAAAGTATAAATATCATGTATTTAAATAATATAAAGTCTTTCAACACTCTGCTAAGAGGTAAATAATTGAAAAATGAATGTGTAAAGGAATACAAAATAATTATTTTAATCGAACTTTCAGTAATTTTTTTGTTTCTCCTTTTTATTGAAGAAAAGTATAAAATTAATTTATTCTTTGTCTTTAACAATCTACAATTTTTAAACAAAGAAACAATCTTTTTATGATTTAAATTTATTATTTTATCTGAATTAAATAAACAGTTGTGCGGAAGTTTTAGGAGGTAATAATATAGGTAATAGAAGACAAAAAATATGAAAATAACTCTTCTTATCCGATCATTTATAGTTTCTGAGATATAGAGGGTCTTTGTAGCAAAATAAATTTAAATTTGGCGCTCAGCCTTAAACTTCACTAACAAAAATTATGAAGAAATATTATATCTGAGGTTAGTTCTTCAAAATCTTTTAATTTGTTTTAAAAAATTTGATTTAAAATTAGCAAAAACAGTCACAGAAAACAGTATCCTCATATTTAAAAAAACAATTATAGAGGTAAAAACTTTGTATCATTTTTTTTGTCGAAGAAACCACCAAATTTCATTACTCGTATCTCAAGTGTCACCGACTATACGTATTAGCAATGTAATCTTTGAAATAAAAGTACTCAAAAGATGCAAACCTCGTTTATAGTCATTTTTTAATGCTAAAGTCTCAGAATCTATAAACACTCGTATAAGGATATTTTCTCATCTTTCTACTAATCACCTCTTGAGATTTCTTCACAATTATTAAATTCCCTCTGTCGTGGTCCTAGGTTTTGAACGATTGGTTGGACGTTTTTTTTTTGTAAGAGTTTTTAAATGAAACAGAAAAGTGACGAAGATTGTAGGTATTTCAAGCGTTGGGACTTTTTTTAATTCTAACAAATTCATTACTGAGTAGAAACCTAATTTTTCTACAGCTGTTCCAAAATTTGTGGAACAGTTTTATGAAATATAGTTATTTACGAGTATATTAAAGCCTAAGCTTGTCTCTAAATACAACACAGAAAAAATCTTAAAAAAATTCTTTCATAATGATTTTCTAATTATTATTTCATATGTTTATTTATCTATGCTATTAGAAAAGTAAACAAAAAAAGTGTATTTTAATTGTAATTATGTAATTATATAATTAATTATTTGTGGCTTTTATGGTCGATGGTTTTGTTCCCTTTAACTTGAGAAAATAGATAATAAACATAAATAGAAAAAAATGCTTGCTGTATTTCATTATCATAAAGCTGTTCTAAGAATTTTGTGTCAATTTGTATAGTTACTTATAATAAAGATAATAATTTCATTAAAACTGTTGCTTTTTATGGTTTTTTACAGATTTCTTTTAAGTATGCAAATTAACAAACTAACAAGTGTTAACGTTGTGTAATCCCCGGCCTATTGCAACACATTTCATTTTGATTATTTTATTATTTTTATCGTTTCAAGGGTTCAGGATGATGGCGCTTTATTCGGATCACAGCCTAACATAATACAAAAACTAAACACTAACTCGCCTAAAGTAACGCCAAAACTAACCAAAACGCAATCGTTCAAACACCAACGCTCCGAAGGCGGCGGCCTCAGCGCTGCGAAAATCTTCCGAAAGTTTTCATTCAAATCGAGAAGTAGAGAAGGCACACCCAAGATGCCGAAAAAATTATCAGTGAAACCCAAAGATGACCGAATGCGACCGAGCAAACGCGATATCACTTCGGCTATCATCGACCACCGAGGTGGTACGATGATAAACGAGTATTGGGGCGTTTCGCTGGAAATACCCGAAAATGCGATTCCCCCAGGGGAACAAAAAGAAATCTATTTTGTTATTTCTGATCCGAGGTTGTGTGATAACAACGTGCCACCGCTGGATTTAGAAAACGGTAACATTTTTGTTATTATTGAGAGCCAGTGTACATGCGCAGGACCGGATTTAGGCAGGTTTTGCGGCGAAATCCGGTCCTGCAAACTTTTTATTGTTTAGATTTCCTATTAAATAAATTAAGAAAATGTAAGCAATTTAGAGAACATCGATTAATTGTTCAACAGGATTTTTATTTTATTCACCCATTATGTTTCACATTTTCACAAAAATTTTGTAGTTTTTCATTCCACTTTATTATTATTGTGCAAAAATTAATGATTATTCGATATACAGTTTGATGAAAAAAAGGCGCCCGTGTTAACCCACACGTTGTAAGTGATCTTTTATTAAAGACGAATTCGAAGACCAAAATTGGATTTGTGCTCTTATCAGTAAGATATAGACTTTCCTTTTTAGAAAAGAAATATCTAAATAATTAACAGTTTTAAAATAATTTCATTGGTAAAGTCTAGATTTTGGTACAGTTGACGGTGTTCTTAAAAAAAATGTGTAAAAAGTCTATTGAAATAAATTTATCAATGTTGCAACATTGCAAATTTCCTAGGATACAGAAAATGTCCAAGTAATATTAAATTATTGGAAACGATAGCAATAAAAAAATTAATTTTCAATGTCGTTTGTTCTGTGACGATTAAAGTCAAAAAGACAAAGATTAAAAAAATTAAATGAAATCATTAGATACCTTTTGGTCGTATCGTATTGGAATAATAAAATTATGTAAACTTTACAGTTTTTTATTTTATGCGGGTGACAATGTCTATCAGTACTGGTTTCCTAGATACGAAAAATACCTGAGTGAAATAGTTTTTTAGTAAAAGAAAATTGTGCAATATTGCCGCTTTGTGCTGTTAGACAAACTGTTTAAATTTTAAAAAGAATCTATTTAGACTATTTTTAGAATGATGGTCACAATGTTTCAATAAAAACGGACGCGCCTATTTCAATCGTGGGCGTCTTTTTTTCATCGCCCTGTATAAAAATGGCCCGGCGCATCCACCATTTTTGTTGCAATTGTGAAAAATTCTGTTTGGTTTATCGATTAATTGATAGATTCCATCTTAATGTTAAGAATTTTGGAGGTATTGATATGTTTTTTAAGATGGTATTTCAAAAACAAAAATCCTTTACAACAGTATTTCCCCTCCAACCAATTGGACAATATTTTCGTTAACTGATTTTGACTCTTCTTGCAGGTGAGGCAATGTTGTCACCAATTGTCATGTGCGGACCTCAAGGAACTGAGTTTTTGAAGCCTGTGATCCTCAATATTCCGCATTATGCGAACACCTTACCCAGTCTTGGTATCAGTTTGAAAGCTACAGATTCTGAACAAGATGTGCACACAGACTGGGACAACATTTTACTGCCTAGCAATCACGCTGCCAACAGTGTGGCTGTTAAAGTCGATCACTTTTAAATTTATTATGTACTCATTTTTATCAGCGACAAATTTGCTCAAGTTTGCCATTTTTTTACTATTTCGCTGTCACTTTAAATGCTCTATTATATTTTTATTTTAAATGTAATTCTTTTATGTTTTAGACTGATGTAACTGCAATGTGTTTATAATTTTATTTGTAAATAAACGAAATTTATTTTAGTACCAAGAACGGGTGTATGATTTTAGGATGCTTGTGCCCTCTGGTTGCCAGGTTTGAAACCTTTAGTGGGTATAAAGGAGGTTAGCACATGCATGTTGAGCCAATTCTTACAGTTGGCGCCACTGTATACTTTGACACGACCCGCTTTCAGGGGCGGTTATCCAACAAGAGCTCCGGTGTGACAGAACTGGTAACATTTTGAAGAAAATTTATAAAAATTGGTATAGCAAGATATTATTGTTTCCATGTAGAAAAACTGAAAGTGAAAAATTATTTAGCGATCATCACAAAAATTTAATGTGTACAGGATGCTCCATTTTGGATGTCTGAGTAGGGAATCTCCGAAACTAAGATGTTTAGCCCAAAACGAGTGATACATTTTGGGGCTCATTTTTTGAGAAAATAATATTGGTTAGAACCCCATCCCGCTATAGTCTTTTGTTTTCGACTTATAGACAAAAATTGACATTTTAGCGAAATCTAAAAAAATTCATATCTTCGTTATTATAGAAGACACAGATTTGAAATAGACATTATACAGGCACTTTTTACGAAGAATTTAATAATGTAGTTAACATTTTTTTCAGTTGTTTGTTTAGCCGTAATAAAATAAACTTGTATTTTTTTAAATGGGAATCATAGATGGCTATGTCGTTTTTAAAATGCTTGTTTTTTTCTTATCTAAAAAATATATATTTGTAACAAATTGTTATAATACATTTTTAGCAAAAAATTATATTTGATTTTTGTTCGCAGTTGGCCATGAAAAAATGTTGCATCTTCAAGTAAAAGGATTTAAACTATATTATTCAACCAGTGTAATGAAAGAGTTTTCTAAGTACTAAGTAATGAAAAAAATGCAAAATAAATCATAAATCTACTTATTGGCGACTAATACCATTTCTTTGTTTTTAAACAAGCTAACATTACCATTGTAACTTCTAATGATACATAGAGTGTTGAAAAAAAAAGCCGTTTTAATTCTTTAATAAAATATATTTTATATTACACAAAAATGACGATATGGCTATCCAAATACCCAAATTCTGTGTATGTGGAACGTTATCCTAGTTCCATTAGATCATCAAAAACACGTTTTTTCTAATTGTGTTGACCGTTGACACATTTGTTTTTCCTATTTTTGAATTTTTTAAAAATACATAATAATTTTGTTCTGAGGCATATTTGTTCAATACTTCTAACGCATCGTATTTTTTAAATTTTTATAATTTTATCATCTATTTTACACTTCACAAAACTCTTATTGATTATTATTTACACATTTGGAGTGAAATAGTTTTTCCATGGCCAACTATTATCAAACAAAATATGTATTTCACTTTTTAAGTATAATTATAAAAAAATATTGTTACAAATGTATATTTTTTAGATCAGAAAAAAATAAACTTTTCAAAATTGCCATAGCTGCCTATGATTTCCATTTAAAAAATACAAGTTTATTTTATTACGGCGATACCAATAACTGATTTTTTTTTAACTACATTATTAAATTCCTCGTAAAAAAGTGCCTCTATAATGTCTTTATGTCAAATCCGTATCTTCTATAATAACGAAGATATGATTTTTTTTAGATTTCGCCAAAATGTCAACTTTTGTCTGTAAGTCGAAAACAAAAGACGATAGCGGAATGCGGTTTTAACCAATATTATTTTCTCAAAAAATGAGACCCAGAATGTATCACTCGTTTTTGGCTAAACATCCTAGTTTCGGGGATCCCCTATTCGGACATCCAAAATGCAGCACCCTGTACATTATAAGTTCAGCGCCAAATTGGAAGAAAAATTGAAAATAAATAAAGAAGATTACCCGTTATGGTAATTGAAACAAATGCGGACCAGCATGGGTAAACAATTAATCATAAAACAATCTAGTCAGAAATACAATTGCGATATTTATTCCCACAATAAATGGATGTGTGGCTGTCAAAATAAAAACAAATAGTATTAAAGAATTTTTGCAAAACCGATTTTAAAAATTTCACGAGCTGCCACTGCACTTTTTTGTTAATTTTGATCAATTTAATTTTGGGGAAAGAAACAAACACTTGTTTATAAATTAATGCATTTATTGTTGTTTGACACATAAATTCAGAAATATAGATATTTATGAAATAATTTGTGTTGATCGATATATACCTATATAACACACAAGCTTATCAATCTTATTCAATATTAACTCAACTGCATTCTTACATATTTTGAGATCACAAAATATATAATAACAAATTCAACAATTTTCGTAAATTCTCCAGGAAACTTCCAAACGAACACAATATTGCTAAAAATTGAAAATTTCGGCAGTAGTTGCGCTTAAAATTGTTTTGATAAATTTTTAGGAACAATTTAGAGTACGATTGTTTTCTTTTCAAGAGAAGACTTTAACAACTAGCCAAAAAGCTGCCAAAATAACGATTTAAAAATACGTGGTGTTTAAAATCTTCAGAATACTGCAAAACGTTTATATTCATAAAAATTCAATAAAATGTATCACATATTGTTTTCAACAAAAGAAAATATAAAAAATATCTATAATTATAAAATTAAATTTATAAATTTAACAAAAAAGTTCATGCAAAAAATTAAGAACAAACTTAGAAATAAAATAATTTAAATATATTGTACAGATAAAATTTTATTGTATGGCATTTATACGCAATCATCCGTAATAAGGGTGAAAAATTGCCGAAATTGCACATCCGATCAATAAATTTTTGATATGCGTCCCGCGCATTTTAAAATATGTACAAAATTTGATTGCGAAAAATTCCTGAGATAAATCGGAAAAATTTGGTCGAGACCAGACCTGCAATCCGACACATCTCTCAACCCCAACATTCACACATATTTATTTTTAAAAGTATATCTTTTTAAGATTATAATAACAGATGCTTCCAAAGCACCATTCTAGTTTGTACTTTTCTTCGTAATTGATAAAAAATATTATCTTTGTAACAGTTTCACAAATATAAATTAAAAACAATCATAACAAGAACAATTTTGAGATGTTAAAAAAAAAGAAAAAACAAACAACTCATCCTCGTTTTTTTTGTTTGTTTCTTTGTAAACATACAAATTATACACGCATTTTTTACAAAGCGAATTAAAAATAAAAATCTCTAGTGCATTTTATTACAGTAAACCTATGACTAACGGTATAGACCAATCATTTGAGTATTTTAAAACGAACTAATTTAAAGAAAAGTTTCGAAAAAAATTAATTCGTTGAGAGTGATGGTAGAAATACCACAAATTACCCACAAAAAATCAAATATTTGATAATTTTCATAATTGCTTTTCAATCTTGGACGTATATGGTAATTTGAAGTAGACATTAAGATGTGATGAATGGATTCATGTACATGAAAACAATTTACCATGTTCCGTAAATGTCACGTCGTTCAAATTTGACAAAATAAAATTGTAGAACAATTTAGCTCAAAGACTCCAAAAAGTTGGTCTCTTAAAGTCGACTTCGACACCACATTCACGTTTTCTTTGAACATATTTTAATTCTTTGCTATGAAGTTTAGTGTTCTTAAATTTGAAAGGTCTTTTATGTCTTTTGTAATACACGAACTTTTTCCTGCACCTGACTTGTTTTTCTCGAAATTAGTTCGCTTTAAATTCAAATTTTCGTCAGATTTGACTGGCCTAGTAGTACGACAGAGGATCACCCTCCTTCTATATACAAATCGGAATTTGCGGAGAGCGAAAACTCTTGGAGCTTCTCGCCACTCTCCTATTCTTCCGGATTGCTTCGATTACCAATTAAATAAGACACAAAGAAAAAATTGACGACCGTTCATCGACGGCACAACACAATTACAGATCATTCGGGAGCAGTGTTTACTATTGCTTTCGGTTCTGCGACAGCACTTTCCAAACTTGCAATAACACTTGTTTTTTGTCCTTCGATTTCACAATTGTCGTTCGTTTTGATTATGGAAGAACTGTTATTTTCATCGTCTCTAATTTCCCCGTTACATATCACTTTTGTCTCTTCGATCGTCTCCGGTACGCATCGACGTTCCAACTCCTCCACTTTGTCCTCCAACTCCCTAATTCTTTCGTCCTTCGTGCGACACTCCTTCATCCACCTTTCGTTCTCTTTCAAAAGTCCTTTAAACACATCGATGACCCGATCTCGGGCCTCACATCCTTTCAACAATTCTTCGATTTTCCCCAAATCGCTTGACTTTTCCGAAATTTCCGAAGCACTGTCTTCAGTATCGGTGGACAATTCGATTTCGGAATTATACCTAGGCAATGTCCCTGTAGTTTGTACCACTGAAACGACTTTCGTCGCTTCGGGAGTCTTTTCCTCAACCTCTTGCTTAACTATAACTTCCGTACTGTTGTTATTCGTCACTTCTTCTTTCTTCACTTCGAACTCTTCTTTGATGAAACCTTTTCCATACCGGTGTTTCTTGGGAGTTGTGGGTGCCAGAGCGACATTTGGTTGGAAAGTTCTTTCAAATCGCTCCGATTCGGACATAAGAACTACCCTTTCGGGATTCTGCAACACTGGAGTGTCGCTGTTATACCGATTCATTCCCATAAGATGACTGTAAACTTTTGGTTCTTTGTGATGGTTGACCGGTTTGAAGGCCGACAGGTGACGATTGGCAGCTTGGAATTCCTGGATGCATTGGTTCAAATACATGGCGTCCAGAGAGGCGTATAAACTGTACGATTGCAAAGGGCTCAGGTACTCGCCGAGGAGTTTTTGTTTCTTCAGGGGCAATTCGTGTTCTTTTATAATGTCCGAAGCGAGAACCTAGAACAAAAAATCGCCCTTTAGTCTAAATTGATATACAAAAGGATCAATTCAATGCGAACACAAGGGGGGATTTTATCAAGGCCGAATCAAGAAAATCATAAACTGATTATCAATTAATTGCAATCAACATTAAGCATTTATACTGAAAACTTGATCTTGATGACAGGAAGTAAAAAGTTAATATATCTTCTATTTTATTGTAGCTGCTATTAACATAACCTCTCCTACTGCTTATCATTTTAAAAGTAAAAACAAGTGAAGTCACAAGACACCTGCCATCTAAAAAAGGATATAAGGAACTAATAATATAATACTCTTACTTCGGAACAGAGTTTAGTACTTAACCCCTGCTGTAACAAACCGTTATAAATTTAATACCGCTAATAGGGGAGAGTGGGGTAATTGTGTTTATAGCTTAATACAAAGCGGCAGTAATTATGTTAGTACTGTTATTAAAATCTTCGTAGCCTAATACCAGGTGGTATGAAATCTTTTTCTAAAGCATTGATAATACTCGTTTGTACAATTATCATAAAACAGCTGTATTTTGCGCTATATTTTTCAGGTAATCTAGATCTTTAAAACAAAATCCAAGAAAAACTTTTAAAAATTCTACGTTATTATCTTTTTTTAATAATAATTATACAGGGTGTGTCCCTGACTTTATTGCTAAATTTAATGTACGTATTTTTTTGTTTTGTTTTGTAGTTACCAAAGCTGAATCCATTAAATTTTTTATCGACTTACCACGGCGGTCAAAAAAGTGGCCATCAACGTAATTCGACGTTGTCGAATGCGACAGTCAAGATTATCAATTTATTGTCAAAAAAAGTATGGGTATAATGCTTCAAAATACACTGCTCAACAATTATTGAAGAGTATATTACTATTTTTCAGAAATTTGTAATTAAAATACCTTGAAGGTATCGATAAGTATCGCTTAACTAAAGTATTTATTTCAGAATTTAAATCTTTTCGTTTTGTTTCCTTTTTAATTGTAGTGGTGTTTTTTCACTGATTATTTTCTTCAGTTCTTAATTTTGACTATGAATGAGCGAAAGTTTATTTATTGTAACTGTTTTTCTTTTATTTAAAACTACACATTAAATTAAAAAATTAAGTGTATTTTCCAATATCCACTTCAATTGTTAAAATAGCTCTTCCGTAGACAGTCAACGCATGAATGAGTTTTCAAAATTTACAATTCAAAAAGTATGAAAAATCAAATAACTAAAAACAGGTAGCAATATCTTTTCCCTAAAAAAAAACTTTTTCATGATTGTTCCCTTACGATACATAAGGTGAAAAGTGGTATATAACTAAATATATAAATTTTTCAATTTATATATACTTGATTTGACATCTGTTAAAATTAACCTCAAAATGTTCAATAAATTCACGGTTTTTATGAAATTTCGCTGACGATCATGAAAAATGTTGTTCGATACACGTGAGCTGTCTTATTTTTCAGGTCTGAGACCGAATTTTGCAGTGGAGGTCGAAAATTTTCAATAAATTCACGGTTTTTATGAAATTTCGCTGACGATCATGAAAAATGATGTTCGATACACGTGAGCTGTCTTATTATTTAGGTCTTCGACCTCCACTGCAGCACTCAGCTTCACTTCGTGTCGCAAAATTCGGTCTCAGACCTGAAAAATAATTTGACAGCGCCCTTGTATCGAAAATAACTATTTCATGACGTTAAACGTGGGTGTATTTTTTGCTAGACTTTATTTCTTAATTAAAATTAAAAATTAGAAGATATCCCAGAAAGTCTAGCTGGGGAAAAGTTGCAGTTTTTTCGGGTTGTTTATTACTGTCCAGCCAAATTTTCTAATTTCGTTTTATTCTCCCTTTAACTTAATCGTGAAGGAAAATTTACGATTCTAATATAGCGAATGGACTTTAAACACAATGAAATTTTTGGAACGACGCGGATTCAATTCAGCTCCGAATACGATTTGAGATACTTTCATCGCTAAAAAGCGTTAAGCTGATGGCAAAAAACTGACAGAAAATTGCCATTTCAACGTCGAGCCTTATTGGTCTATCTATACCCCTCGTTCCGACCCTGGCTCTTCTCTCATCCGAGGGAGATTATCAAAATCAAGTTACGGCGCAGATTTAAATCTCATGCATATCTTATTTCAGGCGTGTTTGTTCGACGGGGGGCGCAAGGGCTAAGGGGGCTCTATTCCATAGTTTCTTCGAGTCTCTTTGTTGGATATAAGTGTGTTTGGCCGTTAATAATTAAGGTTTTGTAAACATTCTAAATGTTTTAGGGGATCACAAGTCGGAGGGGGAAAATCCGTTCCTTTCTTGGCATTTTTTTCTAATTATTCAACAGGCGAGATGATAATGAAGCGGTCAAAGGACGTGCTGCTATCGCGACACACTAATTTTAACGTTATCTTTGGATAAATACACCATCCGAGTACTTTGAACTCAATAAAAAGAGTTTGGATGGTCACGGGTGCTTTATTAATAAAAATTTCGACGCTTATTTTTCTTCTCGATTAACCTCGCGATTGACCAATTTAGATGGGTTAGTCACTCGTTCTAGTGCGTAAACATAGAGGTAAACGACAAAATTTGGAACAAACCGAACTTCTTTGTTCTGTTCCATTAAGCAGTGTGTAATTATTACACTTTGATAAGAAATAACATTTTTCCAATACTACTTTCGACTGCATGTTGGACCCCACAGAACTTTCTTATCTGACTTATTGTGTTATTTTCTGTGTATGTACATTAAATCAGTCTAAAATTAAATAGTTAAAATAAAATAAAAATATGCAATTCCACAGAAGTTATACCGTTTAAAGAGAAAATTGTTAAAAATAGCTAATTTTTCAGTGAAAAAATATGATTGCTCGAAACACTAGACACAATACATCAACGTCAGAACGATTAAATACTAAATAAACAAGATAAAAGAACTAAAACAAAATTGGACGATTGTAAAGCATCCACAATAACTTATTATTAACAAATACAGATTAAAATATTAAAGTTCAATTTTATCAATCTACGTTGCAAATATCAAACAGTTTTCTGAATAAAGAAACAAAGAATTCCTTACTATAGTTTCGAAATTTAAAATAATAGAATCAAAAAATATGTTTTCTGCCAAAGATAATATAACGTGTTTCAAAATGATTTTCATATAGTCGCCATTTTCCGTATAAAATAAAAATTGTCGGGGGATACCTAAATGTTAATTTATTTCAATTTTCAGCTGTCAATGTTGACAGAACTATCTAGTTCAAAAAGAGTAGAGCGGCACATGTAAAGAAACAGATGAAAATCATTTTGAAATACGTTGTATAATCTTTCATTTTTTTGTTTTTGGCAAGTATTTTTTAAATATTATTTTTCCATTATTGAAAAAAATAACTGTTATTCTAAAACTGCAATACTTTCCGTGTTCTCAATAGATTTCTTCTTGAACTCAATATAAATGTGGTCCACATGTAGTGAGAACTTAAACTGAATTTGTTTCTTTTAGTGTTAGTAAAAGAAAATGGTTGAATCCTTCCGTTACCCAAAAACCTATCGACCATGATCTCTCCAAATCATAAATTTTCTAACTTTACTCGAACCCTAACTACTCCAACCTTGTAAAACTTGACAACTGTATCATCATCACCCCTTTGGGAAAGCGAAAAACTCATCATTTTCAAGGACGTGTCGCGATCGATCCGTTCCGAATTGAGCCACAACTGTTGAACCGCGAACGCGGAGGGCTTCGCCCTCTTCATTCACACTCTCTAACTTTTGATGTTCTTCCACCCCTAACCTCAATAAACCAGTTTCATGCACATATTTCCAGAAATCTGCACCTAAAAATTTCACTCTGAAGCGGTCAACAGAAGAAGCGATTATCGACCCGCCTCCAACTCCTCGACCATCACAACTTCGCAGAACGTACCCTTTCCTACCGAATGATGAATTACACGCAGAGTTCCTATTCATCGTCTTTCCCCCATCTCATCATGACAGTCGTCTCTCAGGGGTCACAAAACACCCTTTCTTTTGTCTGGCGGACCCTTTTTCGCTTTCTGACCTTCCTCCGTGCGTTGTATCTGCGGTGCTCAATTGATGTATACCGGGTGTGTTTGTATTCTTCTATGACCCACATTCGTGCGATGGTTTTTCTGAAGGCGTTTTTTTTTCGACTGGAGGGTAGATGTTAATTGCGCTAATGGGACTCAAGTGATCGCTTTGTCGTTTTTTTAGGACCCTAGGTATGGGGATGCGTCACGTGGAGGTAATTACCACGGACAACAGATTACACGTGATGTTGGCCGACCGTGACGCATGCAAAAGAGCTACAGGATAATAATTAATGTACGGCATCAGACGGTTCAATTTGTTTCATCGATTTTTTACTCATTTTTGCAATTTTCCCAAAAAAATTCATACAATTTACTAATTGTTTTTAAAAATCAATACTTAGCTTAAGTAAAACTCTTAGCTTCATACTTTTTGTTCACCTGGTATATTTTATGTAAGTAAACATAACTTTGAAAACTAAAAAACTATATTAGGTAATTTATGATCCAAAAATAAAATTTTCTCCCAATTACAAATTATTTTATCGGGTACCGGTTTCGTCCAATTTGGCCTTCATCAGCCCTACGTCACGAAAATTTCACATTAAAATACTTTACAAACTTTACCATTACACATCAAATTACATATAAAATTAAAATTCAAAACAAAACCAATTTGAATTATCGGTACCCGATAATAAACACTTTGAAATTGGAAGAAAATTTTATTTTTGGACCATAAATTACCTAATGAAATAACCCCAATTGGAGGTAACTACATAACCTAAAAAATATATTGTTCTAGATAATAAAGAAATCGGAATTTGATTCAAATACTTTTTTTGATTTTTTAGTGGTATCTACCTACATACGTTGTTGAGAAGTAGATAGATAATATTCAGATTACAAAAAATCTTCAAAAAATTCTTAAGCTCATAT